CGTCACTGCTGCTCCGGTGGGCGGCGCTCCGAGCGGGGTCATCTGGCAGTCTCCGGCCACCTAAATTAGGACCCGGAGACTGCCAGATGACCCCGCTCGGAGCGCCGCACACCGGAGCAGCAGTGACGCGACGCTCGGCGAGGTAAGTAAGAAGACACCTGGCGCTGACTCGAGTATAAGCCGAGGGGGGCACTTTTCAGCCAAAAAAATGGGCTGAAAATCTCGGCTTATACTCGAGTATATACGGTAATTATTAGCAGGGGTTCCCCGAGACCTGAAAGTAATGTTATAGGTTCCTTAATGGTAAAAAAAAAGGCAGGGATCTGCTAAACGCTATCTATTTTTGTTATCTCGGAACATTGGAACTTGATGACGTCAGCATGCGAACATTGGCTGGGAGCATCTTAAGGAAGAGGCATCTGGGTTGGTCAGTCACATAGCGTGGGGAGCCTGTGGGAGCAAGGGTACCATGGGCAAAAGCAAGCATTTAACACTTGCAGTGTGGGGGAAGTCAAACTGAAAGGGTATTTTATCTTTTCCAAGGAGTTCAGCTTTAAAATTTGAACCCCTTAATAATTAAACCAAAAAAATCCAGTTTTGTAGGAAAATAATGTATCAATATGTTTATGTCTCTAACACATTCACCAGCTGTAATCAAATAAATAAACAAGTATCCTGCTGTAGAAACAAAATAAAGGGGATATATACTTAAAAGCCTCAATAAGTGCAGTTTATTTGTGATTTTATTTTTATCCCGTGATCATTGCTCTTCAGAGATGTTCAATTTACGTACATATACAGTATATTGCATTAGCATGAAATCCTTATATTTTCACTTGAAATGAACATTCAACTGCTGAAAGTTTTATTATCTCATTAAGTTAATTTTTATGAGCATCTCAGTTGCTACTTTTCCTGCTCTCATCAATAGGCACCCCACTGAAACTCAGATTTTTCAAGCAAATACCAGCGTAATATTCTTTATAAATAGACTTTTACAGTCAAGTGATAAAATAGCGTGTGTGGTACTGGTAATAGATCACATGTGCTGTAATGTCTTTAGTAAACTGAGCAAGGGGGAACAAATATATATATATAATGATGAAGAGAGGAAGACATGGTGGTAGTCTGGTCCTCGTATGACAACCGTGGCTCCTTCCATAGATACAGTCGAGTTAGGGACTGATGTCATCCTAGGACAGGAAGTATTTTAATTGGAAGATCTCCAGGTGAAAATAAAGGGAACAAAACGCCTAAGAAAGAAAATTTATTTAGCAACTAAATCTAAGGACTGGTAAACTGTAGGGATGCACCGTTACCAGTATCGGTGCCGATACAGAGTACAGGTGAAACTCGAATAATTAGAATATCGTGCAAAGTTCATTTATTTCACTAATGCAACTTAAAAGGTGAAACTAATATATGAGATAGACTCATTACATGCAAAGCAAGATAGTTCAAGCCGTG